TGACGCTGTCGAAAGCGTCACGTTGGCTCACGTTCCCACCTGTATGTTGAATAAAATGTGATAATGTTGCAATAAGTTCATTAGAAATGCTGATTGTTCGGTCTCCTTTCCTTGTGTGATTTAGTGGTCTTCTTTATTTGGAATAAATAATGGTAATGCTAAGCACATTTAGCATAAATTTGAAAATCAAAGAAGTATCCTACAAAATACCACGTAGGATTTATCAAGTTCAGAATGTCTGGAAACATATAAGCTGAAAAAAATCATAGACTTGTGAATTTTGTGGACTGGGGAAAAAAACAATTCTGTCTATTTTATCATTGTGTATACTCTAGTTTTTTTTTGGAAGTTTCAAAAACATAAATCTGGTGTGTATGATAGAAATGTGTCTTTAAAAGTGTCTTTTTTATTTTCAGAAAAGGAAAATAACATTAGGAGATCAAAATATTAAAGAAATTGGGTTTTTTATAAATTACTTTCATTTATACATGAATCGTGTGGTCAAACTAAAAGCATGTAATGTTTTAAAAACACTGAATTTAATGTAACTTTTTTTTTGTCTTGCAGCTAATATTGTAAAAATGTGATAGATTTGGTTCGTGTGGCACTGAATAAAAATCTTAAAGGGTTAGTTCATCCAAAAACCCAAACTCACCCTCGAGGCATCCTAGGTGTATGTGACTTTCTACTTTCAGACGAATCCAGTCGGAGTTATATTAAAAATTGTCCTGGCTATTCCAAGCTCTATCATTGCGGTCAGCGGGTGCTGCAGTTGAACAGTCCACAAGTCGTCAAATAAAGCGCACACAATAAAACGTGCTTCACATGGATCCGGGGGGGGGTGAACAAAGGCCTCCTGTAGCGAATCCATGTGTTTTTGTAAGAAAAATATCAATATTTCAAACGTAATAAACACTTTTCTATCACTTCCTCCATCTGTCATACGGGGAAGCCGTGCCGGCAGATGACGTAGTACGTCGGCGTCAGCGGGTGCTGCAGTTGAACAGTCCACAAGTCATCAAATAAAGCGCACACAATAAAACGTGCTTCACATGGATCCGGGGGGGTGAACAAAGGCCTCCTGTAGCGAATCCATGTGTTTTTGTAAGAAAAATATCAATATTTCAAACGTAATAAACACTTTTCTATCACTTCCTCCATCTGTCATACGGGGAAGCCGTGCCGGCAGATGACGTAGTACGTCGGCGTTGCGTGATTAGTGATGAACGTGTAGAGAGAACAAAACAAAACTCTGGTCATGAATTAGAAGTACAAACCGAAGATGTGCAAAGAAAAATGTCGGAGGATTTCGATATAAGCCAAGAGGAGACTGGTTTTCCTTTGCTAAAGTAAGGAAACTTTGCTTCCTTTGCTCCTATAAACAAACTCGCGAAACTAGCATAGCTCAGGGGCGCGCGCGCTGCGCATACGTCCTGCGTCGTCCACCGGAACACCTTCCGTGTAAGACAGATACCGGAAGTGAGAGAAAAGTGGTTATTATGTTTGAAATATGGATATTTTTCTTACAAAAACGCATGGATTCACTACAGAAGGCCTTTATTCACCCCCCGGAGCCGTGTGAAGCACGTTTTTATTACGGATGCATGCGCTTTGTTTGACGACTTGTGGACTGTTCAACTGCAGCACCCGCTGACCGCAATGATAGAGCTTGGAATAGCCAGGACAGTTTTTAATACAACTCCGACTGGATTCATCTGAAAGAAGAAAGTCATATACACCTAGGATGCCTCGGGGGTGAGTAAAACACAGGCTAATTTTCATTTTTGGGTGAACTAACCCTTTAACTTAGTATAAAGTCTTAATACCACAAAATTCAACAAATTTAGCCAAGTGTGGATTTAAAATATATAAATAAAAATAAAATGTTAAAATAAAATAAATAGAATAATAATTTAAAAAACTAATTGTCAAAAATCTACATTTACTATTTACTTTCCTAATATATGTTACTGAAATGTTAGCATTTGTAAACTCATCATAAATGAGTAACTTGCTTATTATCTAACTATACTCTTTTTTTGTTTGTTTGTTTTAGATACAAAGTTGCGTTAAAAAGCTGGTCATCACTGTGCTTGTGAGAGGGAAAAAGATGGATCCGTCTGCAGGAATGCACATGTCTGCTGTTCCCCAGAACAATGAAGTGGTCCACGTCTCTGTCGGTAACCCCATTATAACCATGTATCAGCAGCAACCACAGCCTCCAAACATCACACAAATCATCACACAGCACGTGGTACCTCAAGAAGTCTCCTGTCAGGCTATACCGCACACGATCCCATCGCACATCCAAATGCCAATTCACATCCAGACTCAGTCTCACATCCAGCCTGCTCCACATCTGCAGACTCTACCGCAAGGCCACATGGAAGCACAGGCTTATATTCCGACCCAAGACCACGTGTCAACACAAGGTCCATCAGAGGGCCAGAGTGCCGCACCGTCTCAAGATGGTGCAGTGAACTCACTGCAAGTCCCTTTTGCAGATGTAGCCTCCCTGCTGGACCCTAACATGAAGAGCTCAAAGGCTCGCAAATACCAGATCCATTACGATGAGGTGAAGAGGAGATTGGAACCACCTGAGAAGATGTCTCTCCGATCTCTGGCTGCCTATACAAGAGTGAGTCGAGGTCCGGCTAGTAAGAAAACACTCTTGGAGTCTCTAAATGTCTTTGGTCTGTCACCAAGCACCAATACAGCAGTGTCCAGTTCCTTTTCCAAACTAACTGAAGGTACGTCTGAACAATATACTTGGAAAAAGTGAAAAATCAAACCTGTTTGAAAATAAAGGTATTTTATAGTTTTAGTGGCTTTTTGTACATAAAATGAAAGTCATCAGGGTTGTTTTAGACCCCACTGACTGTCATTTTATTGGAAAATCAGTTGATATATGCTTTAAAATATCTTGTTTTGTAGACAAAGGTAAGTCAAACAGCATGAGAGTCAATAAATGATGACAGAGTTGTAATTTTTGGGTAAACTATCCCTTTAAACACAACCAGAATTGAATGTAGACAAGGTTAAAGCAAATTAATTCTACATAACTGCATGAATTTTCATTATTTTCAGGTGACACAGCTGCCCTTTGCAAAGACATGAAGGATTTTGCACTGCAATATGTCGATTATGAGAATATGGCGAAACAGTTGCTACCTGAAACAAACCAAGTGCAGCACTGGTCAAAAATCATTGAAACAAGGTCAATTATTAGTAGGCCTGTACAAATAATAGTAAATGGTTTTGCTGTGATTCAAAAAGTAATTTTGGTTGTTTCTCTGTTTGTTAAACAGGAATTATCTAGAGGAGATGAGGAAGATTTTTAATGACCCTCTGAATACACGTTTGTTCTCCAATGTTACGCATGGTCTTGGTAACGGCATGATGGACGTGGCTCTCAGCATCATAGATAACGTCATCGACCGACAAATCCGAATCCTCTCAGGGAACACCGACCCCAAACCCGAACCTCCGGTGAGAAGGATAAGGAAACGCAACCGCAAGCCCAAAGCCGCCACTGAAGACGGCAAACCTAAAGAAAAGGGCAAAAGGGGACGGAAGAAAGGGAAACAGATGCGGCTGGATTCTGTTGTTCCTGAGGTTCAACAGTCCTCAGAGATGGAGAGCAGCATGTTAACGCTAGTCTCTGTAGGATACGAAACCATTTCCAGTGGACTTAACCCCACCAATGCAGGTCTTGCGTAACATCACGTGCATGAAAGGTGCAAAGAGACACTGAATTCTGAGTGCAAAAAGTTTTTCATAGAAAATTTTAGTTTTATAAATGTTAGACTTCTCTCCTTCTCTCAAGACTGGCTATATTTTGTTTATTTTTTTCTCACAATCTGGTCAATCAAGAAAATAATGTAGGTCTGAGAGGATGTTGGCAGAGATGTTTTTATTTAAACCAATCATGTATTGCCCTCAACCTTTTGTTTTGCCATTTGTGGCAAAGAACAAATGTACACAGACCTTTTTTTTTTTTCAAGCACTATGTTCTATTTTCATAAAATGGTCACAATATCAGTTTCTGTTAGTCTCATTTTAGAATTTTATCTCTGAAGTGTTTTTTGACTCTGTTGTACTTAATCTTACAAACGCCAAGCAATTTAGTTTGAGAATGAACATATCTTCTCTTGGACATTGTTTGATTTTTCGTACTATTTATTTCCTTTTTCTGTTTGTGTCTGATATTTAGTGTATGTGAACAACTGTAGCCTGTACTCTAAGTTTTGCAGATTGCTCATCATATGCTTGTATTAAAGGCATTACCTTTTTTAAGCAATTTGTGTATTTATTACATTTATATTGCTTGCAGAGCGTAAAAGGATCCATTTTAATACAAGACTGAAATGTATTGAATGGATTTATTGCAATTACAAGTGCATATAATTAGGGTTAGGGATTTAAATAAACCCTTAACCCTACGTATTAATTTTATGAGCGTTGCATATCTCACATTATTTGCGCTATGAGCCAGAGATATCTGAAACTGGATTTAAACGACAAAATATGGACAAAATATGAACAAAATATCCTAACATCATAGAGACTTTTTTATATGATCCATTATTAAGTAACATGTAACAATATGTTCATAACCATTCAGAACAGCTTTGCAGCCACATAACATCATATTAGCACTGTGGTGGCAACATTTGCACAGTTATTCAATAATATGTAGTTGCTGTTATAATTAATTTTAATCAAAAAATTTCTGTTTTATACGTCCTCTCAAATATCAATAATAGCTAATTGGTTTGTTTTCAATTATGCTCACTTCAACTGCTTTGTAATCTTTTGTATTTTCACAAAAGATTTCCCCACAAAGCAGCTTTTCTGAATCCCTGGTGAGCATGCAGAGAAAATCCTCACCATGGAGTCAGATTTGTAGCTGAGCCAATGATATTGTTTGTCTGTTGTTCCTCTCTCTCTTCTGCCCTGTAGGAGACGTTTGATGTTGGCGTTCTGCAGTTCACAGTGTCATTTACAGGTGTCCTGTCCACTGTGAGGCTTTCATCAGACTGAGGATTAGGAGTGCATTAGAGTAGGTCTGAATCAGAGCAGGCGGTAGAGAGACAGGGATTGAGAGGAAGAAAATAAATGTGTGATGAGTGAGGGAGGGAGGAGTTTGTTTCGCAAACATACATGTATATACAGCCCGGACAAGAGTGGAAGGAAAACTTATTGCCTATAAAAAGGACAATATTGCACAAATATATACTGATACAAAGCAAGACATGGAGTTGTGTGAGATTTTAGATCAGAAGCATATTATTCTAGACTGCCATGGTAATCCAGGACACAATCAGTGCTGAGAACTAAAGAGGTCATCACAACCTCACACAGACATATGGACAAGATGGGGGCCAGTCGTCCACTACCTAATGCGCCCAAGGGTAAGTAACAACAGCCACAATGGAAACACTGTCTGAAGGATGCACATTTCAATGTACGTTTTGTATTCTCAGACTCACTAAGTGCTGCAATAGAGGCCATCAGTGTGAGCACAGAACTTATCGAGGAAGAACTAAAGCCATATTTGGACACAGTATTCAATGTTGCCATAGAAAGAAGTGAGTATTTCATGTTTTTGTTACTGTATATAATTTAAGATTTAGATTGTTTGTTTGGGACTGGAGAAGTCATGTAGACATGCATAGTACTAGTTGAGTGCTTATGTAACAAAAACTAGGCCCTCTGATCATTATACAGGATGTTATATCTTGTGACATCTCTTAATATAGTATGCCTTTATAAAGTAGTTTCTTTAAAGTAAACGGAAACTGTTGTCAATTGGTATGAGCTTGTTTCAGCTAGTTAGATGCAGAATGTGCCAGCACTTTGAGTGAGTTCTGAAAGCTGCTTAGTGCGTATTGCTATTACACTTTGGCTATACCTGACCGAGGCTACCATCATAAGTTATTATGTGTCTCTCTGGAAAACTTAATTTTGCCTTGGTCAGTTGCAACACTCTAAGTTTGAATATTTTTGCATAATGAACTCCAAACAGTAATATTTGCTGTCATCCTAAGCAAATGGTTTCTTTCATAGCTATGCTGGCTTTGTCTCTTGATCCACTTTGCGTTAAATTTATTCTCACATAGTCAAATAATATAAACTTAAATCAATGTTTGATGTGTAAAAAGCAGGATAATGAACAGTCTGATTATGTACTGAAACGATACAAGACCCTGTGAGGTTTATGTTGCAATAATGAACAAGTGACTGTGCGTTATCCCCTACATATCACAAATCATCCGAGCACAGGTGAGAAATCATAATTAATACATCAACAAGCATAGCTGTGAGAAGGATACACAACTCCTGTGGATTTGAAAACAGAGACACTCTAATCCGCATTTGTCTCTGTGAGAGCCTTTGAGTGACATGAACGATTAGCCAGACTGCTTCTTTGTACACAAGCAACCAGGTGGCCAGCTGTGAGTGATTTCTGTAGTTTGTGGAAACATCATTTGTTAATCTGTGCGTATGTTCACTAAGGACAACTGGATAAGAATGGTCTAGCTAGCATGATGTACACAATTTATCCAATTTGTTGTACTTTCAGAGGGATGGGATATATATTCATAACCGTTTAAAAGTTTGGGGTCAGTACAATTAAAATTAATAATTTTATTCTCCAAGGACACATTAAATTGGTCAACAAAAAGAGAGTAAAGGCATTTATAATTTTACCAAAAAAAAGTATTTTGAAGTTTGTATTCATCAGTGAATCCTAGAAAAATGTCACAGTTACCACAAAACTATTTAGCAGCACAACTGTTTTCAACAGTCATAATAAGAAATGACCTTTTCTTTCAGCATATTGGAAAGTTCATGTGCTGTAAATACAACTTTGCCATTACAGAAATAATTCACATTTAAAAAAAATATTAAAGTAGAGAATGGTTATTAATTGTAATCACATTCCACAATATTATTGTTTTACTGTATTTACTGTATATCAACTAAATGTAGACTTAGAGAGCATAAGACACTTCTTTTAAAAACATGAATACTGTACATATTATTCACCCCAAGCTTTGTGCAATGTGTTTTTCTTGTCCTAGAAAAAGGCATATCAGAGCAGGTGGTAGAAAGTGGGATTCTGCCTGTTCTGGCTCAGATTTTAAGAAGAAAGAGCACACTCACTACTCACACTGCCAGACTGGTAGCTGAACTGGCCAGAGATGGTAAGAACAAATGTATACATACATAATGCATGTGTTTGTTGGTGTAGCCTTGTGGTTTAGAATATGGGCTGGGCTGTAACCGAAAGGTTGAACTCAAGAGATGATCCATGAACGAGACCTACACCATTACCTTAGGTTGCTTGTGGGTTTGTTTCTCTAATAAGTTGCACTGGATAAACTGCAAATTTTGCAAATAATGGGAGCTTGATATCTAACTTAATACTTATGTATTGACTGTATTGACTGATTATTGATTCTATAATTCCATCTTTCTTTAGCTCCTGTGAGAGAGCAATGCTTTGAGACAGGCATTGTATCTGCCCTTGTGACCTTACTGCTAAGCCAAGACCAGGACCTTCTCCTTCACGTTAGCCAGGCCATCGCCAGGATTTGCTATGACAGCAGTGAGTGAACCTGAACTTTTGCCCTGTTCTTCTAACCACAGGTCTTAATGGCGGTACTGATGTGAGAGCATTAGTCATACTTTAGTATGTCATTGAGTAAGACTCAGATTTTTTTTATGACATTTGTAGCACCCTATTTACCATCACAAAGGTATTAACCCCCAGTTGATCTGAATTGATCTGTTTCAGAGGCATTCTGAATCTGAGAGGATGTGACTCAGATGTGTAGTTTCAGAAAATAAAGCTTTTGAGAATGCATCAGTTTGTCATTGGCAACAATAGTGTATTTGGATGCTTTCCACATTGTGATTTTGCTGGAACAGGCAGCGTTCACGAAAAGTGGAGTGCACAAAAGCTGTGTGTGAACATTGTCAGATAATATTTAAATCTAAATAATTTAATGGCAGGATTTTGAGTGAAATTACCTTATCTGTTTCAGCAAACATCAAGAGAGATTATACAATCATAGATTTTTTTAAAGGGATACTTTACCAAAAATGGAAAATTCTGTCATCAGTGTTACCTTTTTCTTTTTTTGTCTATCTAACAAAGCTAAAGGGGTTTCAATGTTGTTTTTATTCTTCAAAATGAGGCATGATGACAGAATTTTCATTTTTGGGTCCAGTATCCCTCTGATAAATCACATATTTTCAGTCTGCAATCTGTATCTTGATGCTGACCCTTGACGTTGGGATTTAAGAGATTATTCTCTTGCCAGACTTGCAGCAGGAGCGATTCCTGAGGCTCGGAGCTGTCCCACGACTGGTGTCGGTTCTTCTCCAGTACAGTGAGAACGAGGCACTGCTGAGCTCTTGCCTTCTGGCCCTTTGTAACCTGGCCGACATGGGCGAAGAAGATGGCACTATGCTCTCCTGGGAGAAAGGGGCGTATTTCGGCGAGGGGGAGCGGGTTTTCCGTGGCACCTCACGGTGCTCTTTTGGCTTCTCTTCAGCTGTGACGGTGGTCAGGCTGAAACAGTGGACTAACGGCCAGTACTCTGTGGCAGTAGAAGTGCTTCAAAGGTGCTCCACAATGCTGTGGGGCGCAAAAAACGGCCACCAGACTGGACACCGCTTACCGAACTTTGCCCACCTAGGCAGCTGCCCCAAATTGTATAAAGTTATCAAATGCTCAGTGAAGAACATACCGAGAAACAGGAATCTGAGGGCAGCAGTGCTTCATACCCTCTTGTGAGGCTTCATTGTAGTGCTTTTGGACTATTAATGAACGTCTGAGGTGGCCTGGTGTAAACCACATCCCAATATTTAAGGAGCTCATTTCAGCCATTCATAATAAAGAATGGATCTGAAAGCACAAACATAGAATATAATTGCTCTCAGTTTCCAGTTGCTCAGATGTCACGTCTAAACCTGAGAGTACCAGTCGAGAGACAAAATCACAAGCCAGGTCACAAGACATGTTGTGTCCAAGCAGTTTTAAAAAATCCTACAGATCTACGCTGGCTATACACAGAACATGAGAACAGGTGGACGCCGAGCTGCAATCTGCTAGCCTTTCTGAACTCTGTGATTAGTCCATAAGAGGCCTTACAGTAGTAGATTATCCAGACCCAGTGTTCAGGGTCAGAGCAGCTACACTCACCCAGGTCACAATATGCAACCGTGTTGCAAAATGCACCAAAGGAAATAGATTAACAGATGAGAATCGTGATTTATGTTTACAGTCTTTGGGTCCAAACTAGGGATGCACCGATATGAAAAGTTTGGCCGCCAAACACAGTCCATGTGAAAGCAGGCTTAACTAATGAGCTACATTTAAGCAGTGTTACATATAATTGGGTTTTAAATTAATAACTGCAAAAAGTTGATGTCCATGAATAATCAAGTAGAAACCCCCTGCGAAATTGGCCTATGCCCATGTTACATGCATGTAGGCCCAGAAGGGGTGGGGGATTTCACACTGTGTGCAGTGTTCCCACAAACATGAAAAATGTGGAACTATTAAGAGAATACTAATATTGTGTGACTAGATTTTGCTTTTGTGTAGAGAAAACTTGCTACTCTACACTCTTAAAAATAAAGGTGCTTCAAAAGGTTCTTCAAGCGATGCCATAGAAGAACCATTTTTGGTTCCACAAAGAGCCATTCAGTCAAAGGTTCTTTAAAGAACCATCTCTTTCTTACCTTTTTATAATCTGAAGAACCTTCTTTCGCCACAAAGAACCCTTTGTGAAACAGAAAGGTTCTTCAGATGTTAAAGGTTCTTTATGGAACAATTTAGACAAAAAGGTTCTTCTATGGCATCGTGAAGCACCTTTATTTTTAAGAGTGTACTGTTCAAAAGTTTGGGGTCTGTAAGTGGGTTGAATTTTCTCTTATACTCACCAAGGCCGCATATACAGTATTTGATCAAAAATACAGTAAAAACAGTAATATTATGAAATATTATAACAACTTAAAATAACTGTTTCTAATTGAATATATTTTCAAAAGTAATTTATTCTTTTGATGGCAAAACTGAATTTATAGCCATTACTCCAGTCTTCAGTGTCACATGATCCTTCAGAAATCATTCTAATATGCGTATTTGGTGCTCAAGAAACATTTCAGTATTATTTGATAAATAGAAAGTTTAAAAGAACAGCCATTATTTAAAATAGACTTTTTGTAACATTATATAATATATATATATTTTTTACTGTCACTTTTGATCAGTTGAATACTTATTATTATTTTAAACTTTACTGATCCCAAACTTTTGAATGGTAGTGTATGTCCAAATTGTGAGCGAATCATTCTATTCAATAAACCAATCAAACCAGTTCACAAATTGGTCTGAACGATTCAGTATCAATATCTGTGACCCTACATAGGAAAAGAGGATTGAAGAATGGATGGATGGATGCAAATCAATCTGAATCCAAATGAAACAAAAATCTTATCCATTATTCATAAACAAATGGAATGGAAATGGAAATCCGTGGGTTAAAAGTGTGAGAACCCTATGGTACAACTGGACTGTATTTTTACCTCCTGCATCAAGTCACACAGTTGTTCTGATGGGCTTTGAGGAGCAAACTGTTATTTAAAATAATGTAATTAAACACAAAGTTCATTCAGCAAATGTATGCTATCAATAAACCTTTTCTTTTGACTTTGTTTAATTTCATTAGATTTTCTGACATCAGTCTTGTACTGAAAAAAAACACTTCCACCTTAAAGATAAGAAAAAAGGCTACCATTGTTTTCAAAGAGAGGAGGGAGGTGGCATTGAGTTTGTAGCATGTTGTTCATTGAGGGTCCTGTACTGTGTCAGCGCATCCCAGCGGATGCCATTGCCTGACCAGCTCCTGTGGTTTGCTGACCATGTCGTTCCAGTGTTCCAGCTCTCTGCCCCTCGCATACATGAACGGCCCAATCACCACAATGCCCAACAACACTGCCAGTAAAGACAAAATATAGTGACTGAGTACAGATACATAGGTATATTATAATGGTGCCTTTAAAATAATTGTTATGTCTAAGACCACTGGTGAATGGGGAATGAAACAGTATATTTCTATTATATATTTTTTAAATAATTTCTAATTACATATGTAACCCTGGACCACAAAACCTGTCATAAGTAGCACAGGTATATTTGTAGCAATGGCCAACAATAAATTGGATTTTATTTTATGCCAAAAATCATTAGGATATTAATTAAAGATCATGTTCCATGAAGATATTTTGTAAATTTCCTACCGCAAATATATAAAAACTTAATTTTTGATTAGTAATATGCTTTATTAAGAACTTTATTTGGACAACTTTAAAGACGATTTTCTCAATATTTAGATTTTTTTTTGCACCCTCAGATTCCACATTTTCAAATAGTTGTATATCAGCCAAATATTGTCCTATCCTAACAAACCATACGTCAATGGAAAGCTTATTTATTCAGATGATGTAGAAATCTCAATTTCAAAAAATTTACCCTTATGACTGGTTTTGTGGTCCATGGTCACATATTATAATATCAGTATAAAAATTTGACTTAAATTGAGTTTCATTGAAAAATTACCATGATCAGCATATCAATTTAATTACTGACCTAGAAATAGTGCAGAATCTTTAATATGTGTTATTCATTTTACATTAATATTGGTTTGTTTTAAATATTTCAGAAATTGTGTACATTTTTTTTTTTTTTTTTTAGTCAGCCAGTTGTGATCAATCAAATTTGGGTATGGTATTATTATTATTAATAGGGTTTAGTATTTTTTATATGCTATCATAGTTTTTATTAATATGTTTGTTGTATGTGTTTGTCATTTTTTTGTAGTTTTTGTTTTTTCAAAATATTACTATTTACGTTTCATTTATTTTTATTCCAGTTTTAGTTATAGCTCAGTTTTTTTATCAATTAGTAACTGTAGTGCAAATTAAAATTAAATCTCTTAGTAACCTAGGCAACATTTCTTATTTTCATTTAGTGTAAGTTTTTTCATCTAATTAAATTTTATTTCAATAAACAAAGGTGTTTTTAGTAGTATTAGTTAATGATAATAACCTTGTTTTTTATTGGAGGTTTTTTAAACCCTTTCATTATGGTTCCCTCTAATATTTTTTATTTCACATATTTAACATAATACTTTGTCTTCTTATATTATTTCTTGGAAAGGACTGATTGACAGTTACCGGGCTCCTCTGTGCTGGGCTGCTGGAGCTGTAGGGTCAGACAGGCTGTGTCCAGCTGCATGGGGAGGAGTCTGAAGCTAAGCCTCTCATTAAAGGATGGATTATTTCCTTTCGCTACAGTGGTCCACTTGTTCCTCACCACCTGAGTATGTATCTTCAGAGAGACCTGGGCACACACACCTGTACCATCCATTTTACATTCAAGTTAAAGGTGCACAAAGACTGCTTGTCACTGTATTGTATTCTTTATTGCTCAGTTTCTCACCTGCATCACTGCAACATTGCAAACCTCGCGCTCGTTGAACAACCACAGTGAGGCGGTGTAGAGACTGATTGTAGTTCAAAGACACCTGGATGTCACCGTTTTTTGAAAGGGGCTACAACAGCAGTAAAAAGAACACATTAGTACAGCACTCTTTCCCCAAAGTGATTAAAGGGATGGTTTACCCTAAAATTAAAATGTCGTTTTTTTTACCCTCATGTCATTTCAAACCTGAATGATTTACTTTCTTCTGTTGAAATGTTTATTTTGTGTTCCACAGAAGAAATTCACACAGGTTTGGAAAGACATGAAGGCGAGTAAATGATGACAGAATTTGAATGTCTGTGTAAGCGATTCCTTTAATATTATAGTGTCATACTTGATCACTTTCATTGTCCAGATCCCTCCACTGCACTTTGCCTGCCATCTCCTTCAGTTCAGAAAATCTGAGCGGGATCAGGACTAGACCTACAAGACGGTGTTTCTTCTGATGGTCCACAGTGTACATGCTCATACTCAGAGAGCACTGGTCGACACAGCTATTAGATACCTGTTAGAAGGCATAGGAATCAGCTTACAGGCCTTATTTTGACTGTACCATTCAAACGTTTTGGGTCACGATTTTTTTTTTTTTAAAGAAATTAATACTTTATTTAGCAAGGATGCATTAAAGTGATCAACTTACAGTAAAGACATCTATAATGTTACAAAACAATTCTATTTCAAATAAATGCTGTTTTTTTTTTTTTTTTACTGAAATGTATTGCCATTTCCCCCCAAAATATTAAGATTAAAATGTCAGCACTATTGCAGATTGTTTTATTAATAGTTTGAATTCTTTCTTTTTTTTTTGTTATATTTTACATATTTATTTATTTAAGTTTTAGTATTTTTGTGATTTTGTCACTTTTATTATTATTATTTTTTAAAGTGTCTATAAAGTTTTTTTATGGTTTTAGTTCTAGTTAACTATAATAACCTTGTTGAACAGCAAATTAGCATATTAGAAAGATTTCTGAAGGATCGCGTGACACTGAAGACTGGAGTAATGATGCTAAAAATTCAGCTTTGCCACCACAGGAATAAATTACATTTTAAAGGGGTCATATGATGCTTTTTTAAAGATCATTATTTTGTGTATTTGGTGTAACAGAATATGTTGACATGCTTTAATGTTCAAAAAACACATTATTTTTCAAATACTGTACATTATTGTAGGCCCTCTATGCCCCGCCTCTCTCAAACGCTTCGTTTTCTACAAAGTCCCTCCTTCCGACAAGCGCAGTCTGCTCGGATTGGTCAGCTGATCCAGTGCATTGTGATTGGCCGAACACCGCAAGCACTCGTCGGAAATGTAACGCCCCTTACCATAATCGCAGCTTCATCTTTCAAAATAAATGTAAAGACAGAGCCCGAAAGGGGAACAGAGTTGCGTGACAGACACAGTGATGAAGCTGGTATGTGTTTGCAGTACACAAGCCATGGTTAAGACAGCTGACTCCACTGTGATGTGACCCCCTCCTCTCTCGCGCGCTCTCGCGCTCGCTCTCTCTCCCTCTCTCTCTCACACACGCGCACACACACACACACACACACACGCAATGCACAAAACTCCGCATTTGAACAGTCAATAGCAAATACTTAAACTAATAACAAAACAGTAGCTGATTCAGAAGCGCCAGATTGTCATAGCAAAGTCAGAATTACCTCCTCTCCTAGGTTCACGAAACGGTCGTCCATAAAATGCATTGCTGTTCTGTTGTAAGTAATCTTAAAGATTCCTAAATGCATCTACTTCCGGAAGGCCAAATAAGTGCTTTTG